TTTAAAGAATTCTAAAGCACACTGCTTAATGTCAAATGTATTAATGCCTCCTATTAAGAAATGCTCATAAGAATGAGGTTGGAAACTGGTGTATCATGTCCTCATTTATAGCATATACATTTTAATTGGAAATCAAAACCTGAAATGGAACTTAATGGTGTGCATAGCTGTAAGACAGAAAATAACTCTTTTTTCTCAATACATGTGTTTAACTTGTATTTACAGCTAGTGCAGAGGGGACTTGCAGGAGGAGAACTGGTTTTGAGGCAGAAGACTGGATTAATAAAACAATTCCAAAAAAGGCAGAGGAGGAGAGCCTGGAGCTGGGCACAGACAGCATGTAGAGGAGTTGGGGGGATGATCTCGGGAAACATGGCTGTGCAGGGAGGAGAGGGAGCTGGACCTGTGTGTGGCTGAAAGGGGTGAGCAAGTGCTTGTCGAAGGTGGGAAGACTTTGTGACATTTTCGGGGCAGGGTTGTGGACAGGAGCAGAAGAGGAAGACGGGGAGTGTGAATGGATGCTTTTAATACAGTGTAGAGAGGAGCACTTGGCAGCTTGTTAAATATATGACCCTGTAATGATCTTGTCACACTCTGGTCATTCTTTCTTCATAAAGTTTTGGTGAGCGTTTCTGAGTGCCCTGGCTCAGAGAAGGAGTAGCAGGAGGCTGTGCTGGCAGAGCTCTATGTTTGCTCTGGGGGGTCTTCTCTAGCCTGGGCCAAGGCAAAGGGCAGCCAACTTCAACCCCCTGGCCTCCACCCTGTCTGTCACCTGGGATGAGGTTATCTTGAGAAAAACTTTCCCAGTTGTAGGAAACAACGTTTCAACATTGTTGGTAAAGCCTCAACATCTTTCCTACAGTGCCAGGGGCTGGGCCTGGAGCTGCTGTTTCTCAATGGAACAGATTAAGCTCTCGGGATATGCTGACTTCTGGTCTGACTTATGAAACTGTCGGGGCAGGGTTGCTGCTTCTGTGGCAGTGACAGGACCAACATCCTGCTCTGACAGCAGTGAGCTCCTTGCACCTGGCTCAAGTGAACTCCCAAGGGTGAGGAAGAGTTTTCCCAGCCTTTCTGGCAAATAAGGCAGGGTCTTGATATGGTGCCTGCCTGCTGTGCCAGGCTGCTGCGCTCCTCTACCTCAGGAGGAACCAAGCAGAGAACTTGGAAGTTTCATCCTCTTATTCTTTCTGGGTCAGGCTCAGTCTGAAGAATGCTGAAAATATTGATGCTGATGATAAAGTCCAGTTAATCTCCTTGAGGAATCTTTTACAGAATCACTTAACCAAGAAGAGATTTTGAGGAAAACATTGGTTAGATTTTTTTCAGGAATAACTTGTGACTGAGGCAGGAAACAGATTTAGATATATGAAGCATTCAAAATAGCTTGAAAGGTGACTTTGGTGGGCTCCATGGCAACTCATCTATTCTGTAGCTTTGCAGAGGACTTATACAAGAGTGCTGCCTGGCTTTAAAAATACAGTAATTTAAAAACCAGGCTGCAAGCCTGCTAGATCTGAATTTGAAGTATCGCCTGTAGCAGAGAGGGCCTCTTCCTGGGCCCTTCTGGAACAGCTCTGCTGGAGAAAATCTTTGTGTGACTTTCTGGCTTATTGACTGCATTTTAGGTTACCATGGATACCTCAGGAAGCAATGGGTTTGCGGGAGAGACTCCTTGGTCTGAGGTCATTGTTTACACAGTCAGATGCTCTCTACTGGGACTCTGCACATGTCCTGTTGCTGTAACTTTCAGGCACAGACCATGCTCTGGCTGCCAGTCTCCAATTTGAAAACAACTCAAAAAAGAAATTAAAAAAGAATTTTGATGAGATTTGGGAGTTCTGGAATAAGGTGACTGGCTGCTGGATGGCTTTGAACTGTCTGTAGAATGAGTGGGTAAAGCTGGAAGCCTGAGCTCTGCTCTATGCCCAGAGCTCCCTGTTGGTGGCATCTCTGACTC